GGCTGCAGGCCCGGCCAGACCTGGCGGACCTGACAGCTGCCATGCCCGCCCGCTCAGCCGCCGGTGGGTGCGCCAGCAAGCTGTCCGCGACGCTGCAAGAGGTAGTGAATGATGCGGCATCTCCATGGCCTCGTCGTCTTTGGCAGCTTGAAACCGGGCCGAGGATGTACACCCGGGCCGCTTTGTGATCTGGGCATGAAGCGGTCGGGTCTCTTCTCTCTGCTTCATCCGGAAGCTTGAGAAATGCAATGTTCCCTTTCCATTCGCAATTTGGGGCAAAATGGGGCAAAATGAAGATTTCGGCGTTGCTCCCATTGAGTTCGAAAGCTAGGAAGCAGTGAAGCATCTGTTTTAGCCCCTTCGACGTCTGGAAAATATGTACATACTTGAAGGCAACGCGAATCTTGGGAGCATTTTGACTATGGTTCAGAAAATGGCAAGATGCGGCCGGTAAGTTTTACTTAATTGAGAATTCCCGTACAACGCAGATTTCTGCCGAACTAAAAGCTAAAAAAAACGCGACTTCCAGAACCTTTGGTGCATCGGCTGAGGTTTTGCAGAACAAACCTTGAAGATGTTATTTAAAAGGAACCATTCAGAGCAATTACTTTTTCAACAGAGGACTCTGAGTGATGACAGGCTGTAAAGCATTTCGGTGTATGTAGTTTTTTAATGAGCCATGATGTTTTTGATCAGTGCTACGTTTGGTGTTGGCCAAGCTGTGTGGCAGGTGGATAAAGCAGCATGGCATACATTCTGCAGCGAGTCGTGACGTCCTACCATGACTTTATTTCAGGTCTGGGTTTTTAGGCCGTTTTGCAGCTGAGGCCAGTCCAATGGAGTGGGCCCGCGGGCTCAAGATCAGGGAACTCGGCGCGGAGCTCACCTGCTACCTCTGCAACGGCTACTTCGTGGACGCCTTCACCGTGGTGGAGTGCCTCCACTCGTGTAAGTCACGATAAGGCTGTCACGGCACTTTGACGTAGTTGGTAGCCGTAAGGTGAGCTTTTTAAGATGGTTTGAGCGAAGGCGACGCCTCGGATCTTCTCGGAGCTTTAGCAACTGTCTTGACATCACCATGGGCGGTCGTTGAACGGTTGGCTTTTTATTCCATTGTTTCTCGTCCACAGTTTGCAAGTCCTGTATCATAAAGCACGTGAGAAAAAAATGTTCCTGTCCAAGATGCGAGACGCAGATAAACCAGGCTCGTCTGACGGCGGCATTAAGGTTGGTACGGGATCTGCGACTTCTGCTCAGACCTGGCTGTGCGAACGCGAGAACGGCTTGAACCAAACATTTGTTCACCTGAAACATTTAGGCTCGGAGCCATTGCACCATATCCGGCAAGTTCCTTCGTTGGGCATTCCATTAAGTCCTTTGCTGATCCCAGATTGGAAGCGAGCCAGTGACATCTCGTGTTTTCAGTGCGTTTGACCGCGCCAGCCGTCGCCCTCGGGCATCTAACATGCGCCTGCGATCGCGCACCAGCTGACAACCCCGGCACGCGTGTCACAATGAACATCGCCGCCCACACGCTCTAAATCAAGGACGTCCCCAGTCATCAGCGTCGCCTCAGATGTCCCATGACATCACTGATCGTGAAGACAGTGGGGTTCCCACCCCGTGCCGCGCCACCCGGCACCATATCGCTCGTGCATTTCATCAGCGAACTTAACCGGGGCCGGCAGCCCCGCTTCTGACGGCCTGTCGGGCGGTGATCGTGCGCCGTCCGACCGAGCGCGCCCCGTCGGCGATGAATAAGCCGCATGAGGCGAACCTCGCGACTATGATGACTGCGGGCTGTGTTGATGCGCCGTTTGAGTTGCCTAGGCCGGAGGTATCCGATGCGCTGAACATGCAAACCATGCTGATGTCTTAAAATGTAACTTAAGACCTCAAAGTCGGATGTCGTTGGCTTCCCCTAATGACCGGAACTCGCCCTTTATTTGTTTAACATCTTCAGCTCAGTTAGGGACCAAGTGCACGCTGTTTTTAAGGGCGTTGCGCTTACCGCTGTGTAACAGGGGTAGTGAGTTTTATCCAGTGTAATAAGTGCGAAACTATGGACGGAGAGAGGCAGGGTTGAAAATTACAAAAAAGCGTAACATAATTTACCGTGACCCTGTGACGTCTTCCGCGACTCCGTCATGTCTTCCACGACTCCGTCACGTCTTCCGCGACTCCGTCATGTCTGCCGCGACTTTGTCACGTCTTCCGCGACTCCGTCACGTCTTCCGCGACTCCGTCATGTCTTCCGCGACTCCGTCATGTCTTCCGCGACACTACCATGCAAACAGGTAGTCTGTAGTCCTCCGCAGCTGATCGCCCATAATGTACAGTGAAGTGCTGTCGTGCCTCTGCGTAGCTGCCTGTGACACGCCATTGCTAGCTGAGGCTGCAGAGACCGGATGGACCGCGCCGGGTGCGATCAACAAGCTGATTTTTTTGCCCGCCACGCGTCATCAGCGGCGCGTGGTGGGCGCGCGGCTGCAGCCGGGACGCCGCGCATGCAGACCTGGCCCTGCCGTCTGCGACCGGCAGGCTCACCGGCTTTTGGCGGATCTGGCGGGTGATAGCGTGAACCGGCTACGACCGCGGCCGCCCCGTGTCAGCGCCCCCAGCGGAGCCAGCCCCTTCCCTGTCCGCCGCCCAGCGTCAGCTGGCGGCGCCGCTGACGCCGGGCGGCGGCGGAGCGGGCCCGGTCAGGGGCGGCCATTGGCTGCTGCGGCGTGCCGTGACCACCGAGTCCCGAGTGCCGCCCCGTACGTTTCACGGTCTCGCAAGCACAGCCGGGGATCATGCCAGCCCGATGTTACAAATCCCGTCAACGGAGGAATGCCATTCAACAGGGCCGTCCGGAGAATGAGGCATCGATCGCTGGTGGAGCCACCTCGTGCAGAGGATGACGGTCCGGACGGATGAGGTGTCGCTGTCCCGTAGGTGATGAGCAGCGAGGTTTGATATAGTTGGGGATGCGTAGGTGCAAGAGCTAGGGACGGACTGAGCACCAATTTCGCGACGTGCCTAAATTGAGCTCCCCGTCACATTCGTGAAGAGAACAACGTTAAAACGTGTCCTCCATCTGCTCCTGGGGACCTGCTGAAACGCTCCGGAGCTGGTTGTCGGTAATTTACTTACTGCGTGGTACATAAACGCTTCGTGCTGACGGCAGTGACGACCTCAGGGCATTATGAATGGAAAGTGAAACGTTATATGTAGCAGGTTGTGCATGTATACGCCATACAGCTGTGGGCAATCTGTATCAGTTCTTATTGCAGCGAGCATGTCCGTGCTGACTGGGAGCGCCCGTGCAGTGACGGTCCAGTCTGCCCCGTTCATCAGGTGGCCCTGAATTGTTCACATCTGCATAGACGCACCACGTACCATTAGTTCCAATTCATTGCATTCACACAGCGTTATTCGTTCCATTGATTCTCTCTCCCCACTGATGAAGGGATGTATTGAGTGCTCCACTTTTGTATGCGTCGAGTGGAGGCTCCTAATGGAATGCCGCGCGAATGGGTCGCCTGGCAGTGCTCGAGCAGTGCCGCAGCGTTGACTTGCTACAGATTGGAATCGCCTCCATTGTGCGTCCAATGACGGCGCACCCGGGGCAAATAACCCTGTTAAAATGGGTGGAGTTTCGCATCTCTGGGATGTCTTGGCTCTCCCCAGTGAGACAAGACATCCCAGAGACCATACGGAACCAAATCATACGAAAGCGTTGTGAGGTAATACAAATGTAAACGCCCCCAGTCTTGACGAAAATCGTAAGGTACTGCTGGCGCATCTTTTTCTGAAATATTTGTTATATGCTCGAGGATGGACCGGGGCTTGGCTGTTTGCTCGTGTGGCGCCGCAACTTTGGCTTGACCCCGCTCCCCTCGCTCTCTGTGACCTCCTACCTGAGTGTCTGCCTCTGTCCCGGCTCTGGCTTGACCCCGGCTGCCCTCTCTCCGTGACCTCCTATCTGAGTGTCTGTCTCTGTTCCGTCCGCAGGTCTGACCCCTGCCTACCTCTCTCCGTGACCTCCTACCTGAGTGTCTGTCTCTGTCCCGGCCCTGGCCTGACCCCCGCTTCCGTCTCTCCGTGTTCTCCTATCTGAGTATCTGTAACTGTGCCGTCCACAGGCCTGACCAGACCCTGCAGTCTGTGGTGTACAAACTGGTGCCGCGTCTCTTCAACGCCGAGATGCAGCGGCGGAGAGAGTTCTACGGGCGCCACCCGCGGAGAGGTGCGTCATGGCCGGTCCGCTCCCGCGGCCGCGCGCACAAAAGGCGCCGCGCCACCGGATATCCGGGCAAACCCCAGGCTTCGACGCCCGACTGTCGGTACAATGCTGGCCGCCAAATTATCCGCCATAGATAATGCGGTCGGGATTCGGCTGCGGCCCGGGGGAAGGCGTGAATGGAAGGCTCTTGCATTTCCTTACTGGTGACATGACAGTCTTCCCCTTCGGGCAGCGGGACAGCCTATCAGAAATAATCGACAGTGTCGGGTTTCTCAACGGCGGCAGCGGGACGGATTGCAGTGCTTTCGGCGCAGGCTGTAGACCATGTAAGCTCACTCTCTTGCAAGTGACGTCAAGTCTCACAGGGCATCACGATTGTCATGTCGCCTGGTATGTGCGTGTGTCCAAGCTGCACGGGCACAGTTGGTGTTAACGAATTTGTCGTTGGTTAATGCTATTTTGGTCAGGGTTTTATGGTAGGCTAATGTTGATCACTTTATTTCCAAAATAAACTGCAGAATTTTCTTGTCGTGACCTCAGTAGTTGAGCCTCAACAGAAAAGCCCAAATAATCGTTTTTGTGTAAAGTGAATTGCCCGTGAGCGGAGTGCTTTATGCAGGATGTTCTCAAAAAACGTCACTTCTTTACTATCAGTGAAACGTCTTGAAACTGACTCGTGCAAGTGACGTTTTGTTTTGACGTTTCGGCAGATCGCAGCCTGTCGCCGGAGAGGCGTGGTGACGTCAGTTCCCAGCAGTTTGTGTGCACGCTCGCCGACCCCATCAGCTTCAGCCTCGAGTACTACAGGTGCGTCCACACCAGAGCGTCATCTCCCAACCTTCTTGCCGCACGCCTCCTTGCCCATAGCTACGTCTTCCCTCGGTCCCCTGTATTTCCGGTGAATGGCTCCGCTCACAAATTGCGTCTAACTCCCCGACCACGAAATTACTCGTCAGCCGTCGCTCAAGCGTCAGGAGCCAGACGTCAGGAGCCAGGCGTCAGGAGCCAGGCGTCAGGAGCTGTGTGTCAGGAGCCAGGGGGTCAGGATCCAGGTGTCAGGAGCCAGGCTTCGTTCCCTACGGCCCTTTGGGTACGAGGGAGGCACGACCGGGTTGTGATAAGCGTAGCTCCTCCATCGCTTCCCCTTCCCCTCCCCCGGAGTTGCCCGATCGTCCGCCGGGACGTCGGCGGTGTGGACCGCACCGTCGGCGGTGCGGACCGCACCGTCGGCGGTATGGATCGGGCGCCGGCGGTGTGGACGCAGGTATGGACCGGGTGCGGGAGTCGGTCACCAGCTGGTACCGCTGTCTCGGCCGGCTGGGGCACGCACCCCTGTCTCGGTCCGCCGCCGACAGACCGAACCGACCCGTGCACGGCCGCGCCAGCTAATTATCGTGATGACGACAACATGACGCGTTCATTAGGCACCGGGAGAGGCGCGCTCAATCCCTGGGTGGTCGCCGGGGTGTATTTCGGTCGGCGCACTGACTGCGTGTAAGCCGCCCGGCCAGGGATCACGTGCCACTCCGGAACAGTCGACCAGCTGTATGCTCGGCGATGTCGGCTGTAGTTTTGAACGTTTGTCAGCTGTTTGGAGCCGGCTGTAGGAGTTTGTATAACACGTAGCGTCCTCAGCTCTCCTTCAGTGGGAAGCGAGTCTGATCCAGCGCGTGGTACTCTGCGCAAGTTGGACACGTGCTGGCAAGTGTGAGGCATTAAGCGATGTCGCTTTGGATGGCTAGCAGGCTGCCTACACTCAGACCGTTTTTTTATTTTGAATAAAGTGATAATGTTCGTTTAATCTCCTGCCCGTCGTGCCTCTAATGAGGAGTGCGCACCTGCCCCCTCCCCCACGTGGTCCGAGGTACGCTCGTGCCCCGCGCAGCTGTGACCGGATCTGGTCACGTGACGGCGTCGACGGCGCTTCTGTGCGGGCGACATTTGTTACGAACTCAGCTAATTTAGCACTACCCATGTTTTTGCCTGGTTTAAAAACAAACGGTGGGCGCAAAATGACCTCAGAAGTCGGCTTGCCCTGAAACCCCAATCATCATCACTGGCCAAACGGTCGTTTGGAAATATTGCGTATGCTTAAGTACGTGAGCAATTATCGTAAGCAAACGCTGGTAGTATATCGAGTTCGTGTGGCAGAAGTACGTACCCAAAAGTCCGTGTGCCACGGGTTATAAGCAAGTCTCCGTACGGTACAAATAACGTTTTAAAAATATTCGTATTGACAGAAGTTTGTATGGAGAAGTTCGCATGAATGAAGTACGTACTGGAATGTTTGGAAGCAATTGTACGTAGGCTAGCTGGGCAAGCTAGGCAAACTTGACGAATACAGCTTGCCCCACAAAAGTACGTTCGCAAAAGCTCATAAGCATTGATCACATAACAACAGCTTTGTACCGACAATAACTCCCATGAGGAATGTTCAGAATGTTTGGATTACCAAATGACACACCGCCAGCGCTCAGATTTTGCTGAAAGTTGTTCCGCGTGGTATGATCTTGGGCGTGCGCTCGATGGTGTAATTTCTAGCGCTATCCAGCATACAGTTTGATAGTGATAACCTCGGGCAGTGCTGGGTCGGTACAAGGTCCCGGTGAAAGCGGGTGAACAGAAGCGGAGGCAGCGTGGGCATCTTTCTCTGTGGGCTTTGGGTTACTTGATACAGGCAATCGTGTACCGGGTGTTACTTGCGTCTCCGCCCATGGTGTTCTGCAGTCGAGCTGCCTCTGGCCACAGCCGCCAGCTGACGTCAGTGGCGCACTCAGGAGGGGTCGGGTGGAGTCGTCTAAGGGTGAGGGTGGGGTGATAGGGAAGAACAGCTGCCTCTGGCCACAGCCGCCAGCTGACGTCAGTGGCGCGCTCAGAAGGGGTCGGGTGGAGTCGTCGATAGGATGAGGTTTTTTACCCGTTCCTTCCAGCTCAAGGCCATTGTGCATTGCTGCCCCGCAGTGACACTCCGACTCCCGGCACCAATAATGGGAATCTGCCTTCGAACCTGCAGTGCACATGTACATGGGATATTTGATGTGCGTTTTTTGTCAAACGAGCTTCATCCATGGGAACAATTGGAAACTTACACTCTACATCTGGAAACGAATATTGGCTTGCGTGCTTTTGTCATACAGACTTTATCCACGACGAATATTTGCGTACACACATTTGCGTACGAATTTTTTTCTGCACGAACTTTTGTGCATATGATCACACTCGTTTCGAACCATTGCCGACGAACAATTTACCCTGCGAGCATTATTCTTTGCGAGCTTTTTAACCTTAATAACTTTTTGTTACAAAATTGATATTCTACGTACCTTATCGTAACGAACCTAAGGAAGTTTTGTCCTGCGAATAGCTGTCGTACGAGCCATAACATTCCCCAGTTCAATTAAACGTTCTTTTGCCTGCAGCCTCTCTTGTTTGCACTCGGAGCCCAGATCCGAAAGAGAGAAAGAGTTGTGGGAGGGAGAGAGAGAGGGGGGGGGGGGCCAGCGACCTTGTTTGCGCGGGCAATTTTCGCGCCGATGTGTACTCTGGGAAGTCCCGGTTGGTCGGGTTGTTTGGCGAACCTCGGCTAGTATGCCATAAACAGCATGTTAGCAATGGCTCGTAAAAGGAGAAGAGGGTGACGGTGGGGACGCCGGCACGCAAAGGCGACGACGCCAACCCCACACGCATCGGTCGGTACCTCATGATGCGTCTTGATGCTGAGTTTGGTTGGGGCGAGAAGTCGTGCATTGCGATAAACACCACTTTGAGGTCATTGGATGAAAATCTCCTTTGAAAAGCCATGTGTCCCGACTTAGATCAGCCTGGTTTGCGCATGTGATAAGAAGCGTCGCTAATCTGAACTAATTGGCAGGTTCGATGAATACATTCCAAGTGATCAAACCGCGTTTCATGTTGGGCAGTTGCAATAGGTGCTGAGTTGTCCTTCGGTTGCAAACAGCACTTTGCTTTAGTGGTGTCCAAATGCTTTTTGTCGACTTCGGCGCATAAATGAATGCGTTTCAAAGAAAAACAGCAAAGCGATATAATCGCGTTACCCCGCGACCTTTCCTTGCCGGATGTCAGGGCACGCACCAGATGACCACTGGAACCCCATATTGTGTAACCGGCCAGCTGAGCCCTGGCGGAGCTCTCGTGCCGTTGGCGGGCGGCTGGGCCCGGCAGCGGCCCGCCCCGGCAGCTTCACCGCTGGCGCCGCCGGCCTCCCCCGGGCCCAGCCCTGGTGCGCCAGCCCGGCCGCAGTCGGCCATTATCCTAATCTTCCGGTGCCGGCCGGGCGGCGGCCGGCACGTTTACCGGTGCAGCTGCCGCACCTTCCCGCCTCCGCCGGCCCGCGCTGGGGGGCCGGCGCGGTCGCCGGCGCGACCGAGCAGCGCGGCCCCGTCTGCCGATGGGGCGCGCGCGCGCGGAGGGGCCCGGCCAGCGCCACCGAGCGACCGCCAGATCAGGCGTGTCGGGGCGCCAGCTCCCCGCCTGTCGCGGTGTCGGAACGCCAGATCCCCTCCCGTCACTGTGTCGAAGCGCCAGCTTCCCGCCTGTCACGGTTTTGGAGCGCCGGCTCCCTGCCTGTTACAGTGTTGGAGTGCCGGCTCCCTGCCTGACACAGTGCCAGAGCACCAGCCCCCTGCCTGTCACCGTGTCGGAGGGCCAGCCCCAGCCTGTCACGATATCGTGGCACCGGCTCCCTGCCTGTCACGTTGTCGGGGCTCCTGCTTTCCGTCTGTCACGGTATCGGGGCGCCGGCTCCCCGCCTGTCACGGTGTCGGAGCGCCGACTCCCTGCCTGTCATGACATCGGGACCCTGCTCCCCGCCTGCCGCTGGTGTCGAGGCGTCAGCTCCCCGCCTGTCGTTGTCTCGGGACCCTGCTCCCCCTCCCCCTATTGTCGTGCCAGGGCTCCAGTTCCCGCCTGTCGGATTTGGCTCATGTGCCCGTGCCACATAAGACTGGCCCTTGTTGCCAACCCGCGGTCTGCTAAGGAGAACGTACTCTTTCGCTCCCCCCACAGCAGTTTCCGTGGTGAGCGTACTCACTCTTGTTCCCAAACGATTGGGGCGGGGAAGGAGGGGGTCATGCTCTGCCAGCATGTAATTCATAAGCATCCTGTCTGTAGCGCAGCGGCGCACAGTCAGTGATGGATCCAGAATTTGGCCCAAGTCGGGCTACGTTCTGGGCTGTTGGGGATAGAGGCTCATTTCAAAAGAGGCTACTGTGCAGTTTTTTTTTGCTATGCTTACAATTTTAATAAAAATTCCTCATATGCTAGGAACTAGAAACATTTTTGTGAACCACATTTTGATGCGGAGGATTTCGCCTGAAATGCATGAGATGAGACTGATTTCCCACGAAAGTCTGGGATCCATCAAACAGACTTTAAAGAGTGATGTCACAAACAAAAGACGGCAGGCTAGATATCTTTTGAAGACAATGTTGTCAAAAACACCGGTAAAGCGATCAGGAGCGCTACACTTAGGGCGGACTTAAACATTTTGCTTTTGCTTCAAGTACACCAAATATTCAAGCCTTCTTTACCCTTTTTCGTTTTCGTGTTGCGTTTGTGGTGTGTTCTAAACCACGTATGCAAGCTGTATATGAGCCACTGGTTAGTGCAAAGCCTTAAAAGTGGAGGCACGGCAAAATGGTATAAGCAGAGAATTGCAACGCGCATGGCAGCATTCGCCGCTCAATCCTCTGTTATGATGCGTATGTTCGCATCTGGGAATGCTCCAAACCCACAGCGAATGCAGCATAAACGAGTCGATTTGAAAAAAGTTGAATGAAAAAAAGAAAAAAAGTTACCTTGGCATTCATGACGTCATAGCTACGCCATTCAAATGCTGTCATTCCATAAGCTATGCGCTGATCTAGGCCAATACAGTTATAATTGTCGAGGCGTTCATATCTGGCATTCATGAGCGCAATTCCCTGACATAACGGCCGTCAACTGGCTCTCAATCAATGTTATGGAAGGCGCGAGGACGTCATCAAACCATGACGCATCTAGTAGCATATTTGCTAAACGGAAAATTGTACTGTCAGGAGCAGACTTTTCCACTTAAAAGCATATCAATAGTTACAGGTGAGCTTGTTTCATCATATCTGCTGCGTTCTTCTATACTTTCAAATGTGAAACATTCGGTTCAAGAGCACGATGTTGATTAGATTGTTCCCTGATCCCGATTCGTTCCGCCCGTTAGTCCGGAACGTAAGTCCTGGACTGTACACATTCTTCAAATGTGCTGGTTGCGATCGTCGGGACTGTTCATGAATCGAGCTCGAGCGTCATCCATTTTGCATGAAGTGTGCTTTGCGCCGGCCCACTTCGCCTGTGTGTTGCACATATGCAGGATTCACATATGCAAGATGCACATATGCGGCTGTCTAGGCCAGGATTAGCCGAGGCCTGAACAACAGCAGCTACACGTTAAATGAGCATCGACCATTTGCTCCGGACCTTCGGACGGATGATTGCATATCCAGCTTGTGGGAGCGGCCATTTTGAGGTGAAATTAGTCATCAACTGTAACCCTGTTGTGATCAGATGATGATACTTTAAGAAGAAACGAACGTCGAGCTCAAAGCGCGCACTCCTTTCCGCATTCGTTCGCATATGTGAAGCCCGGGTAGGTCAGTGCCCAACCAACAAAACTAGTTACCTATGCAGTTTTTTCTGGATCCCACCTCTTGTTCGTCGCGTGCGCTGAAGTACACCTCCGTGTGGCAGGCTGAGGGACGATTCCGCTTAAGTTATCGGAGTTAAGTATAGCTGGTTACTGAGGGGAGCGTGCCCTGGCCCGCTCCTGGCGACCCGTCCCTGGCATCACGCGACTGCGAGGCACCGCGGCTGAGAACTGTCCCGGCCATGACACGCCAGAACGGAGTCAGGAAGATGCGTGGGGGGAGGAGAACAGGGAGGAATAGCGAAACCCAGCCCCAAAGTACGCCAAAGGGTAGGCTTCTTCCCCAATGTGGCCTATTTTTCTCCTAGTTGAGAGAAAAATGGACCCCCACCTGAAACTGCACCCATGCAGCTTGCCGGAACCCTGCCCACCATTAATCAACCCTCATCAATTAAGTTTCGTGGCTTTGACGCCCAATCGATGGAAAAGGTCAGCTCCAGCCAAAGCTCGTGTCCGCCCATCCACCTTTGGCCTGCCCAATGGTCCGTCTGTTGCCCAGTGGAGCGCTGCGCCATACGCCGGGGCTCGTCCGCCTCCGGGGAGCCCGTCGAGGCCATCAGTCCCGCTGACCGGCGTCGATAACGGCCGGGCCTGGGGCGAGACGTCGGCGGCGCCGGCCGCGCTGTCCGGTCGGGGGCGCCTCGCTCGTAAACGGTGGGGCGGCGGCGAACAAGGCGGCTTTGCAACAAAGAGGCGTCGTCTGGCCAGCGCCACAACAGAGATGTTTTTGCAGGCGCCGTCGCCGACCAGCCGTAAATCAATGCCCGGCAAATGCATGCCCATATTAATACGGATTATTTTGCCGAGTCAGTGGCGCTGCAGGTCGTGCGGCGCGCCGGCGTCAGCGCCCGCGCGGCGGCGCGGCTGCGGCAGCCGGCAGTGCCGCCGACAGCTGACGGCGGCGCCCCGGAGCCGCGTGATGTCGTGCCGACTCCATTATCAACATGCAGGCGAGCGGTCTGGCACAGTTTCTCCTGCAGCGAAGGTGGCCGCGGCTGCTTACGGCACGTGCCAGTCGGCTGGCGTCACCTCCCGTTGCGGGGAGGCGCCGCTCATCACGGGCGGGTAGCGTTGCAAACGTAATTGGGCGCGGTGATTGATCAGTTGTCGTGCCTTTATTGATCAGATAATTGCAGTCTTGCAGGGGAGAACGGCGAGCGTAATCATAATGACGTTTGGATAAGTACAGTGGTGGAGATTGCATGGTTACGGCCACAGGCATCACCTCGGAACCCGGAAGCCAAAGTGGGAATTTCCGAAGTGGTGATGCCGAGGTGCTGGTAACCGCAGCGGTATAACCGTACTCGCCAGGGATCTCAGGATCAGCAGTGCCGTCTTTCGTCCATGCGCGCGGCTTTCCGCAACCGGTTTGCTTGCTTGAATAATAAGGGTGGCGTTCGGCATACAGTAGTTCACCTGTCAGGTTCAGTATCACTTTTACAGCCTGTGGTGATAATGCCTTTTGCAACTTGGGCTTTAAAACGTACCGGATTCTGGGTCATACAGCGCTCATACAAGCTATGGAACCGCAACGAAATCACAAACTACACCAATGTGAAACACTTTCATTCATGCATGTGGATGTGCAAGTCCGCGATCCGAATTTCTGTTGTGCTATCAACTCACGTGACCTGGACCATTTGTGATACATGCTCTACGTCTTTGGGAACAACCCAACCACCGTTCTATCTCCACTTCAGCCATGGTGGCGAGGAGACCGCACTGCCTCCAAAACGGTTCTTCCAAGCGCCGGCCAGCCTCAGCGTGGGTCACCTGCGGAAGCTGCTGACCATGAAGCACGGCCTGGCCACATCAGCCCAGGTGGGTGTCACCGGGGCTTGGTGCGGGGCACGGCCTGGCCACATCAGCCCAGAAGGGTGTCACTGGACGCGGCCTGGCCACACCAGCCCAGGTGAGTGTCACCGAGACCTGGTGCGGGGCACGGGCTGGCCACACCAGCCCAGAGGGGTGTCACTGGGCGCGCCCTGGCCACACCAGACCAGAGGGCGTCGCTGTCCTCTCGACCGCACCGACCGAAAGGCTGTCTTGGCCTCGTCAGATCGTGCTGGTCCAGACGGGCGTTTACGCGCTTGACCTCTTTTCCAACTGCAATTATTTTGATTAGTGCAGCAAATAGGCTGATTAACAATGTGTCTCAAAAAGTGGTGCGGCTGCATTTGAATACCCATTTAAAGCGTACAGGATGTCCGTGATTCACCAATGTGTCCCGTGCGTTTGACGCCTTACCAACTGACCGACGCTTCGTCAGCTGGACATCTTATACGGCGGGGATGTTCTACGGGATGAACTCATGATCCTGGACGTGGCCTGCATGTACAGCTGGGAACGGGTAAGTCACTGACGCAGAATACCGCGTACAGATCAGAATCCTCGCAGATCAGAATTCTAATCCGTCGGAATCGTAACAGCTCAGAATCCCACCAGATCAGAACTCAGTCAGGTCTTGCCTGGCAAGCTGCCAGATCAACAGTGACTGAGCCTTTGTAAAACACCGCAAATTCGAGACACAGAACGAGATAGAATGACTCTTACCGTTTGTCCTATTCCCCTGTTGCATTTTTCTCTGTCCTCTAAGCATGATCTACATTTAAATTGGGTTAGTTTATGCATTTCCCACTTTCGGGTCTCTCTCTGACGCCCTCTCTCCCTCATCCCCGCTCTCCCTCTCTCCCTCCTTTCTCCATCTTTCTCTCCCCCTCTCTTCGTCCCCCTCCCTCCCTCTTTCCCTTCCCTGTCATCGCTCCCCACCATCTCCCTCCCTCCCTCCCTCCCTTTTTCTCTTCCTCCCCTCTCCTTTTCCCCCTCCCTCCCTCCCTCCATCCTCTCTCCATGTTTTTCTCCGTCTCTCTCCTTCCTTCCATCCACTGTGTTGTCTCCTTTCTTTGCGCGCCCATCCTGTCCCCTTCGCGTCCTTCCAACCCATCTTTCCGCTGTCTTCTCTCCTCCGATCCATCCGCCCTGTCGTCTCGTCCCCATCCCTTGCCGTGCTATTTCCTCCCCTTCCGTGACGGTGTAATCTGCTCCCCATCCTCGACCGTGTCGTCTGCTCCCCATCGCTTCGCTGGCCGGAGAGCGGCCGAGGTATGCAGCAGCCGGTGCTGATAAGTGGCACGGCTGGGCCGATCGCGCCGGCCGCCGGGCCTGGAATGCCGACTTGTTTGTTTGACTTTCAGACGGGCCCGATGACGTTTTTCTACCGCTGGACGAGGAAGCGGGCCGCGCCGGCCGCTGCGCCGCCGCCGCCCAAGCGCCGGAAAAACGGGCGGCCGGAAGCGTCGGCGCGGCGTGCGGCAGAGGAGCAGGCCTCGTTGGCTGCGGTGGGGCCCACTGACTGCGGCGGCGGGCGGGCGCCGCAGACCGGTCCGGCGGAGGCGCGGCGGGACACGGAGCACGCGCCCGCGCCGGACGGCGGCGGCCGGGTGCCGAGAGCGGCGGCGGACCGTCTGACGGGGCTGTCTGCGGCCCCGGCGGCGGCCATGGCGCCTCTGTCGCTGCAGGCTGGCGACTCGGAAGTCACAGAGACCGCTGCAACGCCAGCAGACAGCTTGGAACGGGCCGGCAAAGGTTCAGCTGTTGGACAGAATGGTGACGGTGCGAGCGGCTCTGCCTCAGAAGACGGCGGCATCAGCCTCTCCGTTAGACCAGATGTGGGCGGCGACGAGCGCTGCGCGGACACCGGCATCCGCATCCCCCACATCACAGGACTGTCGCTTAGCTTCATCGCCAGGCGCAGTGTGGGCCCGAGGGACAGCGCTTCGAGGACCCCGGCTGTGTCGCTGAGCGGTACTGGCAAGCACGCTGTTAACTGTGACGCCTCCGATGAACAGGCGGCAGGCTCCCGGAACAGTGCAGACGTGCACTTGCATGATACCGTGTCTGTAACGAAGCGCGCATTGCGCTTGCCTAGTGTGACGTCTGGTGCGGCCACGTCCTGTGACGTGTTGGAGGGGGGTGATGCGTCACCGGTCAGTCCGTCCGACTCCAGAGGCAGGTCTGAGGCGGCACCGATCTGTCCGTCCGACCCCAGAGGCAGGTCTGAGGCGGCACCGGTCTGTCCGTCCGACTCCAGAGGCAGGTCTGAGGCGGCACCAGTTTGTCCGTCCGACTCCAGAGGCAGGTCTGAGGCGGCACCAGTTTGTCCATCCGACTCCAGAGGCAGGTCTGAGGCGGCACCGATCTGTCCGTCCGACTCCAGAGGCAGGTCTGAGGCGGCACCAGTTTGTCCGTCCGACTCCAGAGGCAGGTCTGAGGCGGCACCGGTCTGTCCGTCCGACTCCAGAGGCAGGTCTGAGGCGGCACCGGTCTGTCCGTCCGACTCCGGAGGCAGGTCTGAGGCGGCACCGGTCTGTCCGTCCGACTCCAGAGGCAGGTCTGAGGCGGCACCGGTCTGTCCGTCCGACTCCAGAGGCAGGTCTGATGCGGCACCAGTCTGTCCGTCCGACTCCAGAGGCAGGTCTGAGGCGGCACCCGTGGAGGCCGATGACGTGATGAAGATGCGCGGTGCAAAGTCTGAGATCGAGGCGACAGCCAATGGCGAGAAGCCCCACATTCCGTTTAACGGAGAGGTCACTACACAGGGGGATGCCATGGCCGGCAGCGGGAGAGCAGCAAATGGTTGGGACCGCCGGGCTTTGCTGAAGACGAGTGGAGTGAGGCAGGGTGGAAGAAGACCCGAGATCGGCACGAACAACAGCGGCCAAAATGCCCATGCGTTGATGAAAAGAGGTGGTACCAAATTAGGTGGTGCGAAGAACAGGAGGAGGAAAAACGGCGCCGGCGAGCAATCCCGTGTTTCGGTGAATCAAAAAGGCACAAAGTCTGGCGATGTCCTCAATGGCAGTCGGACCACAACGTCGTCCGACGGTCTCGCCGAGAGATTCAGACACGTGTTCAGCAGTGGTGAGCCGGGGCAGTGCAGTCCAATGCCGAAGGAGCCAAGCGCGGGACAGGATGGGACGCTGAGCACCACATGCGCGGTAAGCTCCAGTGCTGCGTCGAACCAGTGTGCTTCGGGGCCTCTGGCGACCTCGAACGGAGGTACTCCAAGCGCACCTGCCTCTTCCTGTGGAGCGGCGGCCTGCTCTCCTTTAGTGCTCGCGGCAGCCGCCTCGAACCCACCGGTTTCGTTGAGCGAAGGAAGTCCCCACGTCTTGGCCGGTACCAATGGAGACGTCGTTGTGTCCAACGGTGGTGTTTCAAGCGCTCCATCACCTGTCAATTCCATCGTTCCCAGTCCACGGACTGCGACAGATGGGTCCACACCAAGCACGTCCAAGGCGAGGAGTGGGGTTGTTACCAGCTCCGGCTCAACTACGGGGTCTGCTCCTGGGAGGAAGGTGAAGCAGGAGGTGGGAAAACTGGGGCAGGACGTCAAACACACCCGCAGTGAGATGTTGGGACACGGCGAAGCCAGGAGAGATGGTGCAGACTGCGCGATGGATATCTATACTTTCGACGCTGAAGCCGAAGAGGAGACGGCCGTGCGCCTGAAGATCACGCCTTTCAAGCCGCAGCAGAAGGTGGGCAAGACGGATCTGAAGAAAGCCAGGCTGTGCCCGTTGCTGCAAAGCAACGCTCCAGCAGCCAGTGACGACAGCGCGACCAAGAGGGGGATCTCCGGACGGCTTCAGGCGTCAGCGAAGCCACTGCCGTCATCGGACGACCCGTGGTCCGCGTCGAGCCCGAGCGTCGCCCGGTCAAGCCCGGCTGGTATGGCCGGGGCGCCACCGCGGCCGCGGCCGCCGGCTGGCAATCCGCGCTCGGTCCCGGCGCCGCGGCCGTCGGCGGCGAGCGGCGCGTCCTCGGCCGTGCCAGCACCGCGCCGCAGCCTGGCGCCGCTGCCAGGCCTGCGTCCGATCGGCGCCGGCGCCGGCGCCATCCCGCTGATGATGGGCCAGCTGGACCGCTTCCTGCAGATGGTCACACAGTCAGCCGTGTCGCAGCCCAACGGCTCGTGGCGACTGCCGGCCGACACGTCGTCTCTGCTGACCCGCGTGTCGGCCCCGGGCCCGGCCCAGGTCACTGCGGCCAAGCGGCTCAAGCCGGTCTCTCTGAAGCCGGCGCCGGCTAAGGCGGTCAAAACACCGCCTGAACAGCGCGCAGGGTCATCCAGAACCTGGTCACCAACGAGATCACCATTACCAAGATCCCGAACACGTCGCGATCGTCGTGGCGTGCGCCGGGGGCGGCGGCTGGCGCGGGCCCCGGCTCGGCCGGCGGCCGGTCGGTGGCCTCGCCCCGGGCCGAGCCGGCGCCGCCCGCCTCCCAGCCAGCGGCTCCGGCCACTGCTGCGGCGTCGCTGCTCGGCAGCCCGGCGCCCCGCGTTGCACTTCACAGTCCGCCGGTGTGCGGCGACCGCGCCGGCAGCAGCGTCACCATCGAGAAGGTGCGCTCACCGACGGCGCCGCGGCAGCGGCCCCCACCGGCCGGCCCGCCCGGCGCCCGGCCGCCCAACTCTCCCAAGCTGCTGGCCATCGCCGAGAGCCTGGCCCTCCGCAAGATCCAGAGTCAGCGGCAGGGCGAGGCGGCGGCACCCACCGCCGGCGGCGGCCAGAAGTCACCCTCGCCAGTCCAGCCGTCGGCGCTCGGCAACCTCATCTCGCTGGCGCAGACGCAGCAGTTCCACAAGCAGCAGCAGCAGCAGCAGGTGGCGGCGGACTCGCCGCGGGGCCGGCCGGCCGCCAGTGCCAGCGTGCGCAAGATCCCGAACCCGGCGCTGCTGCACCACCAGTCGCAGGGTCGGCTGACGGTGCTGAGTGTGCCGCAGGCGGCGGGCGGCGCGGCTGGCACCACCGGCACCGCCACCTCCGCCTCGCTGGCTCGCATGGAGCGGCTCACCAACTCACTGGGCAGGTAGCCGCGGCTGCGGCCGGCTGGAAGCATAAGTATCCGACAGTTGATGACTAGTGTTGCATACAGAGTAACTGGAGGGGTAGCTGGAACAGCGTGCGTGACGTCTCACAACTGCAGTGTGGATTACAGGCCCTGTCCATCTGGCTCCATGTACTGTAGACGGCAGCTGAGCAGCTGACCCCTGACAGCTGGCGGGAAGCTGCCTGACCAATGGCAGCTGGGTTGACAGCTGCCCGGTGAGGGGCTGGTAGGGATCCCTCGTCAGCTCTTTCGTGATCTGCCACCGTACGGCGTCTGCCTTCGCCCAAACTCCCATGGTGTACATGTATCATTGCACCATACTAAGCTCAATTCTCCCACAACCATCGCCTTTTCCAACCATGCATTTCACCGCGAAGAAGCTTTTGCTTCCTTGTGTGAACGCGATTCTGTATGACATCAACTGCTTCCATTACAATCATCCGAACACTATCTTGGCGCACAGTTGCGCCACATCTGTGTGCGCATATTTATTCATCATCACCGTAGACCTGTGTTGGGCGTGCTGACTGGCCGGGCTGCTCAGCCAATGGAGTCCGGCGGCGTGCCTCCGTGCTGAATACATTTGTTGTCTTGGGCTGCAGCTCTGGCAGCTCTGAGCGCTGGAGCGTGTGTGTCCACGTGCTCGGAGGGTGTGTTCGTGCACACAGAACTACGCCGCGCGTGACCCGGAGCCATAGTAAGCTGTTTGGACGCGGTGGCTGGCCGCGTGTACGGGCCTGCCCCGCCCAACGGTCCCCGACGAACGGCGGCAGGGACAGCAGGTCGGTAACGTTACATTGCGAGCGTTGCATATGCTGTGTGTTTGTGGCTGTAATACACGGGCGGCGAAGAGAGACTGGCTCTTTGTTGACAGATGTGACGTCATTGACGATCGGATGATCCTGATGCGGCGTCATTGACGGCGAATTGGCCCCGATGTCACTGACGGTCGGATGATCCTGATCGTGTCGTCGTTGACGGTTGGATGATCCTGGTAGTGACTGTGCATTCGCAATGCGAAACACTGCCGGTCAAACTGAGCGTGCGACAAAAAACCACCGCCGGCCAGGCTGAGCGTGCGACAGAAAACCACCGCCGGATAGATTGAGTGTGCGACAGAAAACCACCGCCGGCCAGACTGAGCGCGCGACAGAAAACCACCGCCGGCCAGACTGAGTGTGCGACAGAAAACCACCGCCGGCCAGACTGAGCGCGCGACAGAAAATCACCGCCGGCCAGACTGGGCGTGCGACAGAAAACCACCGCCGGCCAGACTGGGCGTGCGACAGAAAACCACCGCCGGCCAGACTAGGCGTGCGACATAAAACCATCGCCGGCCAGACTGAGTGTGCGACAGAAGACCATCGCCGGCCAGACTGAGCGTGCGACAGAAAA